ATATAAATGTTACGGATGCAGTAGAAATACCTGTACATAATAGTTTAGAATTAGAGAATATATTAATGCAAGGTAATCAAAGACGTGCAACTGCATTTACATATATGAATTCATCATCATCAAGAAGTCATGCTTTACTAATTATATGGATAGAAAGAAGAGAACGATCAACATCATCATTATCAAGAGAATATACATCTTATTTAGGTCGTTTAAATTTGATTGATTTAGCCGGTAGCGAAGATACTTCACGTTCAAAAGCTGAAGGTGACAGATTTCGTGAAGCAATTAATATTAATACTGGATTATTTCAATTAAGAAGAGTATTAGATGCACTGTCAGCATCTTCATCCTATGTTCCCTACAGGGATTCAACCTTAACCCGTTTACTTCAATCATCATTATCAACAACACAGTCCATCACAATATTAATTTCTCATATTAGTTCATTAAATATCGATCTCTCTGAAACTCTTAGTACTTTAAAATATTCTCAGATAGCTAAATGCGTACAGCGTACATCAATCCCTGCACAAAAACTTTGTAAAAATATAGATACGAGTGACGTAATGTTTGGTGATTATAATGATCCAGTACAGTGTTTTTATCGTCGTACAGTTTATATTCATACACCTTCTTATGAAAAAATATTTGCTCGATTAGCAGGACATAGGTATGATGAACAACAGAAATGTATATTATTTATACATGGTTCTGGGCCTATAAATTCTTCAATGTATTGGAATGATCTTGTAAGAAGACTATTATTCGCAACGTCATCATCATCCTCGCTATCTCCCTATTATTTTGTAGCTATAGATTGTCCAGGTTATGGTCGTTCAGATGGTGATAAACAAACAATTCGTTCTTATCCTGGCGCTTTTATTCAAGAAATAATTGATTGTATTTCACCAACAACACATAAAGTATATTGTCTCATTGGTTCTTCTCAAGGTGCAGCTGCTGTATTCAATGCATTGGTCGAAAAGCCCGCCATATCATCATTTTTAGCCGTGCAAAATCCTGTTTCACACTATCCTCAACGTTTTGTATGTATAAAACAGCCTGCATTATTAATGTATGATACAGATGATGATGGGCATCCTGTTAGCGTTGGCAGATTAGTTAAGAAGTATATTCTAAATAATCATTATTATGAATTTGCAAGTTCAAAACAACCAAAGTGGTTAGAACACAATGCACATTTAAAGTTGTTACAGCTGTTCAATGAGTATGATGCAAACAATAATACAACAAATGCTTTATCTTTACAATTAACAGCATC